AAATTTTATTAATTCTTCAACCATTTTTGAAAATTCCAGAATTTATTCTAAATGTAATATCGCCGTCTTCCTCCGCGACCGTTTCACTTCTAAAAATTTGCATAACTGTGTTAAACTACTATAAAGTAGTGCAACATTTGATTGCTAATAACTCTGATCAACACTTTTAGTGAATGCTACAAATTTAAAATAGAGTTTGTATACTTTTAACTTAGTTATTAACTAAATTTTATTAAAATTTATTAGAAGACACTCCAACAGTTCCCTTGTAAGTTTATAAAATAAAATTGAGTAAGTATACAGGAGCTGCAGTAAGGGTCTAGAACAGTGTTTCTCAGTGGGGCCGATATCACCCCATGTGGGTGTTTTTCTATGTTGAGGGGCGATTAGTAACAATTTATATTTGGGGGCGAAAAACAATTTTCTGGGTGATATAGTAAAACATTATATTAAGAATAATTAGATATTTTATTTGTTATATCGTACAATGATTAAACAAATAACATTATACTAGTCATTAGTCTATTCAATGCAGTATGAATTTGGCGTTATCCTTGGCCCTGGGCATCAAAATTTTGAAGTGAAGGGGACGATACTATGTAATGGTCTTGCAGAGTACAAAACAAATTGACATACTTTTAATCTTCAGGATAGGACGTTAACACCAAATTTATCAAAAATCATTTGTTAATTGAATATTTTTATAGTGAAGTAGAAGCATGATTCATAATGTTTTTATTATCTATTCAATAAATTAGAAGTTTAGTATAGTAGCATGTTGATTACACAAAAAGTAAATTAACTCAAACCAATTCCAGAGAGTACTAATTCTAGAAATTACAAAGTTTTTACTTAATAACTATATATTGTGTTGGGTTTTATTTATTACCACACAATTAGAAAAGCATAATTGTAATGCTTTTCTAATTGTGCTATAATTGAGCAAGTTTATAATGTTACCTGAAACAGTTTAACTCTCATGATGATTTAGCAAGATAATCAAACCAGAATTTAAGGTTGGTCAAGCCAATTTGATAGCATGCTTCACAAAAGTGAATCAAATATTAATTTTCTTTAAACTAAGTTTTATAAATTCTTGGAATCAAGTAGTAGTTCAGAAGGATTTTTCACTGAATACAGTAGAACATTGATTATCCAAATACCGATCAACCAAAACATCGGTTAACCGAAAGCATTCCAGTCGGCAAATTCAAATTTCCACTAGTACTGTGGCACTGCAATATTTGGCTATGTCTTGGACTACTCGAATATTATTTTTGTCGGTGTGCGTGTTTTAGCTGGCAGCATGACACAATCACAAGAGGGTACTTAAGGACGCGCCAGTATTTGAACGAGGCTTTTTTTTTCCCCATTGTGAGTGGTGAGTTTTGCTTGTTTTTGTGGTGTTTTTCTGAGGACTGTGTGTCATGCTGAATTGAAATATTTTGATACTAGATTAACTTCTGAAATATAATTTTTTTTGTTTTTATATTTTTCAATATATTTATTTTGTTTGTGCAAAATGAAGAAATAATTTTTAATGATACAATAGCCATGATTATTATTTTAAAAAGTTTATGTTAGGCTTAACATTGACTAAAATTCAACACGAAGTGACACACAAGAAGAAAAATTTCAACATGGGATAGGTCAGAGGTCGGAATTAGCGGCTCGCAAGCCGCATGCGGCTCTTCAGAAATAAACTCCAATTTCATCTCACCTCATTTCACCGCAGCCTTATAACTTAAGAGTTTATGAGATAGAGCCGCTGAACAAACTTCGACTTGTTCTCCGTCCGCACATGACCACACTCGCGTTGATCAATATGAGTCGCATAAGAGTGGTAGCATTTGAAGCATATCTATATATATAACCCATTGAACGCGTGTCAATCCATCCGTGTAACTTTATGCCGAAAACAGCCACTAGAGGCGCCTCTGTCGTGTGTCGTATTTCGCACATTTAAATTAATATGCGGCTCTGGTACTTTTGTTATCCTGTTTTCATGACAATTTGACTCTTCTCACTTGACAAACTGCCGACCCCTGGGATAGGTTGATATATTTTTTCATACATAATCGGTTATCCAAACAACCTCAGTCCCCAATTGATTTGGATAAATGACGCTCTACTGTATATTTATAAATTGTTATTNTGTAAATTATATGGTAAAGTAAATTATCAGTTTAAATTGTTTTATATGAATCATAATGTAAATTTAATAAAAAAAAACTTCTAAATGATGATTGTTTTTATTAGTCGAATTGGTGATAATTTGCAAGAATCACTTCCTAGTTTAGAGAGTTTGATACTATCCAATAATCACCTGCAAGAATTAGGTGACATTGATACTTTGGCAAGTATAAAGAATTTAACCTATTTGAGGTAAGTTTATAAAATTCTTGATTCTTAAATTAAGATTTTCAAATTTTTATTATGATAAAGACCTGATAGGGTTTAATTATCAGGCCATCCAATAGGATGCTGAAGTTTACACTTACAACTCAGAAAAATGTTTATTTTATTGTTGTATTTTAACTGGAAAGTTATTTTAATAATAAATAAAATACTATACAAATGTTAGACTAATTAATTTACAATGAATTTTTATACACTAGTGTTGAAAAAATGAACTAACTAAACGGTAGTTACATCTTTGTCATTTTGCTAACAAAATCAAAACTAAAGCAATTTTGTTGTGTGTAAGCAAAATAGAACATTAAAATAATATCCTTAACTTGACCATGTAAACATATATAATTGTTTACTTTAGCAGTCAAGCTTCACTTTATAGTGATGAAAATTATAGCCTATTAGTGTTCCAGTTATTGAGTTACAAGTCTTAATTAACAACAAGACAAAATTGATATCTGACTTATGTATCTCTGTTTTGAATGATAAAAGTGTTCATGATTGCCATACCAATCATAAATCAAGTCATAAATACAAAGCATATGAAAAAAACATTTTAAAAGACAGCACTTCAGCAACATTTGTAGGAATTGTCACATCATGCATGAGACTATACAATACATAATTGCAGGCTTTTAACACAGATTGATTACTTACATGAAAAGCTTGCACAAACTATTGTGCATCCACAATCATACTACAAATATACACAGAAAGCAACACAAAATATACTGTGACTGAGCCATAATCACAGACAAAATATTACATCATAATAGACTAGATATCATATTCATTGACAAACAAAACAAAATCACATATACCATAGACATGGTTGTACCAAAGAATCAAAATGTACAAAATATATTTTCTAAAAAATTAGCAAGTTCTCAGAATTTGCCAATGAAATAATTGTCCATGAAGAATATATAAGATAATTATCAAAGCAAGAGAGAACTACAGACATGATGTCTTACTTCATATTCTATATAAAAATCTAAAAACACAAGGTGTTGACAACAGCATAAATATTACATTACAGAAAGCATCCATATTAAGCACATAGGTCGAATGGGGTAAGTGCACTTTCAGTTCTGGAATTTTGAAAGATTTGGGCAGTGAGACAGAGTAAAGATTACCTGATTTCAAAAACCATTTGCTGGAATAACTTACCTGGTTCCATAGCAACAGACTGTGAATATCACAGGTCTCAAACAAATGTTACTTTTTGAGCTACAATATATTTTTTAAAAATAATATTGAAGGATACACTTATCCCTTACTGGTGGGGTTAAATGCACCTTCCATTAATAGCTAGGAAGATCCAGTAAAATCAAATGCTGGGGCAGTGTGCCAAAGGGGTAACAGAAACGTTTTGTTTGTATACAGATTTCAGTAAGCTCAATTGTTGATATGGCCATAGGAAATAAAGTAATAATGACACAGTAAAAGGCAACAGTAAAATCAGCATTTTTTATATAATGCTGATTTTACTGTCCCTAGTTACAAAAGAAATGTAAAATGATTTATAAAACAATATAAAATTGCTTGAGAGTAACTTTCTCTTGAAGAGGTAGTCTAGGACTACTTTGAAGCACCTTACTCCAGCTTACAATAAGACCTGAAGTTTGAACAAGAACTAATTAAACCATGTCTTCAACATGCCATGCTTTGCCAAGAGACTTGCCAATATCTTGGAGAGGAATGTCTGAATGATCTTCCACATCTGGCCAATGGAAAATGCAAGTGTTCTTCTAATTTCTTCTTGAAATTAAAATTAAATTCTTGAAAAAAAAAAAAAGTTGTGCATATACTCTGCAATATCAAATAACATGAGTTTGACAGTCAATCACTTCACTTATATTTAATGTAGAGAGCTAACATACTAAGTCATTATGTAGAAAGATAAAAATTGCCAGAAGTTTATGAGCTGTCAAGATACAAATTTATATGTCTAAATATCAATTAAATAATGTATAAAAAAAAAAGGAAGAGAATTGAAGATGAGGTATAGGTATGTATATCTTTAATGACTTTTGGAAAAATTGCAATGATGGATTACCATGTGCAAAGAATTTTTTACAATTTTAGATAGAGGAAAAGGTGTTGATGAGCTTGTAATTGCAATTTAAAATTGACAGATAACTCGCATCCAATTTCAAACTTGATATGACTTTAAAACACATAATTGAAAATTATTCACAGGAAATTACAGTAAATCTTAATGCTATAGTTATTTACTTGGTTATTTTGACAATTCATAAATTAACTTACATAGAATATAATAAATATGACTGTAATTTGAATGGTTATCATACTAATATTATGGATACTAATTGCAATTATAGATGGTGGCAGCATTCATATAATTGAATCATTAATTTTCAACAAAACCTATTAATATATATAAGAAAAAACATTGCCTTTTTTACTGTAGTTATGAATAAATTTTAATTATTATCTTGATATTTGAAAAGAACAAGTACGTAATGGGCAATTTTCATGATTTTAGTCAAATAATTGATTATCTTAGTTTTGCAACAAAGAAAATGATGATGATGAAAATTTTAGTAATATCAACAATCTAACTCTAACTTATTTTTCACCAAAATATTTGACATTTGATCATAATTAACTCTGAAAGTGTTAAGTTTCTTATGACAATTTCTGTAAATGAATTTTAAAATAAATATTCTATATTAATAAAATTAAAAATTTTTAGTAGTAATAAATATTTAAATACCAAAATATTTTATATTTTAGTTTGATGAAAAATCCTATCACTACCAAGAAACATTATCGATTATATATAATTCATAAAATTCCACAAGTTCGAGTATTGGATTTTAGGAAAGTAAAGAAAAAGGTATGTTATTTTGTAATTGAGAGATGTTTAATGTGGATTTTAATTTTATAAAATACTAGCTGTTACTCACGACTTTGCCCGCGGAGGTTTTGCAACCCCATTTATATTCAGTATTTCAACAACCATAGTAATTGTTATATACCACTGAGAATGATGAGAATTGCTGAGAATCAAACAAACTATTTTCAATTTGATCAATTTTCTGGAATGTTTACAATCGTTCTATAATCTAACCAATATGCAATAATAAATTTGAATTTAAAACAGTTCGAACATTTGGTTAAAAAATCAAAATATATAAAAATATTTATAACAATGTCTGAAATGTTATCAATTTAATATACTTAAGTTCTCAATGAAGACTAAACATTGTTGAAAACAAAAAATTGCATCTAAAATAGTACAGTAGAAGCTGTTTTTCCAGTTAAACCTTAATGCTCTCCCTCTCCCCCCACTGGGGAATTTTGAAAAATCCCTTCTTAATTATTAATGTGCATTTCCATGATGTACCCTAACTGTTTACCAAATTTCACCTCTAGGTTCAGCGGTTTGCTCTGAGCAATGATGAATCAGTGACTCAGTCAGTTAGGACAAGTAATTTTATATATTTAGATTTAAGAATATCGGTATAAGATGTGTAAGAAAATAAGATCGGATACTTAATCATAAACTATATTATTTCTGTACTTAAAATAAAGTATGATAGATTATTATTAAATTTGCATTGATGATGATATTTTTTTAAATTAAAAGTTAATAATATGATTGCTTTTTAATATCAATTTGTTTTAGTGATGAATATATTGAATGCTTTTAAACAGTTGATCATTTTTATGCACTGAACCTAATTTAGTAAAAAATATATCTATATTTTTTACTAAGTTAAAGTTGAACCATTGTTCATGTATGCTAAAACTATTATATTTTATATACAGTATATATGTATTAAATGTATGTGTCAAATATTAATATATTTGGTGGTTGTTCATTCATATATTAGGAGAGAGATGCTGCATCTCAATTATTCAAAGGAAAGAAAGGAAAACAGTTGGAAAAGGAAATTGGAAAAAAATCAAAAATATTTGTTCCTGGAGCTCCTTTACCTTCTGGCGTAGCAAAACAACCATCTGGCGGTCCTGCACCTTCTGATGTTGAAGCAATAAAGGTAATATAATTACAAATTAAAAATTTGATTTTATTTAAGTTTATAAAAATGTTACTAATATTATATATACAGAATGCTATTGACAAAGCTACAACACTGGAGGAAGTTGAAAGATTAAATCAGATGCTAAAATCTGGACAGATTCCAGGCAAAGAACCAAAACCAAATAAAGAGAAAGGTTTGATATATTTCCTTCATGTTCAATGATATTTTTGATCAAGCCTTTATAATTAAAAATCTGAAATCTTTAGATGAAAAGAACGAAGAGGAGGAGGAAGAAATGGATACAAGTGGTATGACTAATGGTACCTGAAAGACAAAAATTGTAATTTTATAATTTTCTTTTCACAAATATATTAAAAGTATATAAACATTATTCTTTCTTACATTGTATACTTTAGTTATTAACTGATAAGAACAGAATACATTTCAAATGTTAACAAGTTTAATAACATTCTTTGAATAAATATCCTTTGATCAAAGAAGCGTTGAGTGTGTTTTTGTATAATTTAAAAAATTTTAATAATTTTTTTGCATTAATATTTTTCAGCATTTCATAAAAATTTACAGCTTTGATATATTAAAAACTAATATGAAGTTTATTCCAAGAATGAAAGCTAGATTTATTTAGAATCATTTATGTAAGCAAAAACAGATATTTAAAAAAAATACAAATATTGAAAATGAAGAAAAAAAGATCAAGATTTTTGAAGAATAGAGAATTTGAGGAGTATCAGACTTCTTTCTACAAATGCACAACTTAGTTCTATCTGCTTTTTTTACAGTTTGAAACTAATAAAAGCCATATATTTCCAAATCAATATATTCCATTTTGGAAAAAGAATGCCATGTATTATGTTTTTCTGAAATATAAGTGTTTTTAATTATTTTAATTTGGAAATAGAAAATGATAGATAGGTAGAAAATCAGAGATACTTTGTATAGAAGTATTTACTTTTTTCTTTTAAATAGTAAAAAAAAAAAAAAACTTGTAAAATGTGTCATGAATATGCACAGAGGGCATATAATCTTTCCTCTTGCTCTAGCCAAATGTATGTGAGGTGCCCAGCTGCATCTTAATGTCAGCTTTACCATCTGCAGATAATCCTCTAGATACCATTGGAAAGGAAGCTGGATGGGTGGAGTTCAGACCAATATGGACTTTAACCAGCTGTTGAGATTCAATTTTAGCTCATCCACTTAACAGTCTAGTGGACCACCACAGGACATATGGATAGTGAAATTCAAGTTTAAAAAATTAACTAAAAATTTGTTTTTATTTCAGATATTGATACCAATGATTAAAAATATGTAATAAGAAATTTACAAATAAATTTTATATAAGTTTGTTCCTGTACTGTTTTTGATTGCATTTAAGACAAATTACAAAATTTAATTTAATAATTTACATTTCCTATCTGAATATAAATTTTTTTTTTCAATTTAAATGTGATGATCTGTTAAGAATGATTATACAACTTTAAAAGTTAACTAAAATTTAGTTCAATTTTTAATAATACTTAATATTTTGTTAGATCTAGCTTAACAAAGACTTCTAGATTCAACTGAAGCATTATTCTGTACAGATATAATTGAGTCATTTGCATAATTTAAAAAATGTGTGCTTATTATCAAATAGTAATTTTTATTCCCTATCAGAAAGTTGTTTATATAAAATTGATATTTTTTATTTATTTATTTATAATCAATACATTGATTATAAATAAATAAATAATTTTCTCTCAATTATTATTTTAAAACTATCAATTTAAATTTTCCTTTCTAGTTGAGAATTTTACTAGAAAATTATACAATTAAAATTAACTTAAATTTCAAAAAGTTATGAATTATTAACTTTTTTTTTTTGTACTGTACAGTGGTACCTCAGCATACGAAATTTTCAGGATATGACATGAAATTTGAATATATTTTTGCTCCACGATACGAATAAAAACCCACCATACAACGTTACATTAGTTCGCAGCACCAGTTTTTATTCACTTCTGTTCATTGGTCTCAGTCTGTGTGTTTGCTTTGTCGTGGAAGGATCTTGCTTGATAAAGGAAATCTTGAGGTATTATCAGAAAGTGACTGATTTTATTGAAAAGAAACATCCCGAAAAGGTTCACACTGGCCGTATTGCTGCTCGGAGTAATGACATTTGCCTAAGTCATTTTAGAAACATTTTAAAAAGTAGGCAAAGCCAAACCTCTTTGGATAGATATTTTACCAAGCGACCTCTATCCAGTGAAAGTGCTGGTGGAAGTGAAGGAAAGAAAGCAAAAAGCAGTAAATAAAAATTAAAAAATATATATATATAAACCAACAATAATTTTTTTTTTATCTTTTCTAAGTTATTTTTAAGTTATTGTTACATTATGTTATGCAAGTTAAGTTTTAGTATCATTTCCCTTCTCCTTCTCTTCTGTCACCAGCATACACCTCCACCGTCGTCTATCCTCAAAGGTAAAGTGCAAATAAAACTACATTTTTTTAATCAATTATTATTCTATTATGGTTATTTATACATTTACAACTACAAAATGCATTTTTCAGTGTTTTTCCTACTAAAGTTTTTTTTAATGTACTACTTAGCTTTAATTTGAGTGTGTTTTTCGTGTTGGAACGAATTATTTGGTTTTACATTGTATGGGGAAAAATGATTCACCTTACGACATTTTCATGATATGATCTCAGTTTCAGAACGAATTAATTTTGTATCCTGGGGTACCACTGTATTACGTTAATAATATATTATATATAATGTTGATTGATAGTTTTTAATAATTTGATAATGAATATTACATATACAACACTATACAATAAAACAAATTTTTATGAGTAAAGATTGTTTATTCTTTTCAATGAATTTGAGATTGAAACACTTATAACAACTAATTTTTGTTAATGAAAATATTGTCAGCAAATCAAATTAGTTGTGAAATTTATAAAATACATATTAGTACTATTGTGTGTAAAATAAATGGACAAACTAAAATTCTGAAAATAATTTGTTAGCACTTTTTCTTGTTTGTTAATTAATGTCACAGAAAACATCTGTAATGTGCATACTGTTTGTATATGTTTAATAATGTGAGGAATTAGCTTAGTAATTATTGGAAATTCTTCCTCTGACCAGTTTAAATAAATAAAATAACTTGAACACAGTATTTTTTTTTTAAAGATAAATAGCATAATAGTCCGTAGTTTGGTTTTTTTACATGTATACAAGATAATTTGAATAATGCAGACAGTTTTTTCACTTTTCAAAAAGTCGTATTACAGTAAAACCTCGATTATCCGCCCCCCGATCAACCGACCCCTCGGTTAACCGACCGTCCTAGTCGGCAAATTTCAAATGTCCGCTAGTGATGTGGCGCTACAATATTTGGCTATGTCTTGGCTACTTTAATATTATTTTTACGTGTTTTAGCTGGCAACACTCATTCGACCATGAAAGGGAGCCAGTATTTAAACGAAGCTTAATTTTCTAATTTTTAACGATACAATAGCGA